CACAGGGTAAACACTCCCATTCCAAAATGCAGGAACAAAAGGATAGAAACCAATAGGACCACAGCAAGGCCAAAACCCAGCACAGCAAACCAAGAAATCCTACAGCGGAAAAATGATTAATGTAGCTCCATGTCCAACACCTGGGGCAAAACTCTAAACTCCAAATGCCTTTGGTGCCCCCCCCCATGGCCCTACCACTTGGAGCCCTCCTGGCTTCTTCCTTGGGGCAGCTCTACTCACTGCCTGTGGCAGCTCTACTCATTCACTGCCTGTGGCTCTCCTCAGATATTTCACATTGCTGGCTTCTGCAACTTCCTTGGTCTCTACTGCACTTTCAGCTACACTCTCACAGCTTCAAGCACTGGCACTTCAAGGGCATACTCCCTACCCTCCTAGGTCTTTTTCTGAAATCTGGGTGGAAGCCTCCATAACCCCACAACTCTTGCATTCTACATGCCCATAAAACCAGCACCACATCAATGATGCCAAGGTCTGCTGTTAGCTCAAGTAGTAGCTGAGCCCCCTTGAATCATGGCTGCAGCAGCCTTCATACTGGAAACCAAATCCTGGGGAACCAATTCCTTCTGGGGCAGAGTACCCTGGGGCTCTCTTCTCAAAGCAAAATTCTAGCCTTGGGAAGGGTGGGGTCTTGCAGGTTCCCAGGATGCCTTCAAGGCATTCTTCCTATTGTCCTGATATCAAGTTACTGGCTTACTTTTAATCTTTCTAGCAACCCAACTCTCCAAAGCACTACCTTTGTAGATATTTCCTTTTTGACAAAGCTGAAAACTTTTCAAATGAGCTTCTTGCTCCTGACTTTCAGTATAAACTTGGCTAAAAGTTTCAAGAAGTACCCATGCCACAGTCCAAATTCTGGGCTGCCTTGAAATTTCCTCCACCTGATTAATTAGTCTACCACCCTTAATTTCAATCTCATCTCAGGACATGAGCAAAATGCACACAAATTTTGTGTCACAGCATACACACAAGACCTCTACCCCAACTGTCAATGGAGTCCTTGTATGCAAATGAAACCTCCTGAGCCTTTATAACCTGTACTTCTACCAGCATTCTGGTCTTCTGAGCTCTGACCAGAATCTCTCATCAAGCTTGCCTTATAGTATTTATGGCTGGTTCTCCAGCCTTCATCTCCAAACTCCTCCTACAAGCCAGGTCAAAGACTCCTAAATCACATGGCCAGGTAAGTCACAGCAACAACTTCACTCTAGGTACCAAAATCTGTATTAGGTTCACTAGAGGAACACAATCAATATAAAATATATGTTTAATTATTCCACAGATTTATTAAGTTACAGGATCAGTAGGGGAGGAATCACAGGAGCTGCCCTCAGAATCAGAGGCAAAAAGATCCGAACTGGAGACGTGGAAGACCCAGTGGCAGTAGAAGGCTGAAGACCTAGAAGTTCCCTGCAGTCAGTGATGTGAGGATGTGCTGGAAAGCCAAACGGTTTACAACAGAAGGCTGAAGAGTCTGTGCTGGAGATTGACATCCAGAGGCAGTGGTGAACACCACAGCTCCTCCAAGAAAAAGAGCAGACTTCCTTCCTCTTTCCCTTTTTATGCCATCCAGGCTATCAGCCTACTAGGTGATGACACCCACATCCAGGATAAGACTTCAGTTTGGGCATGTATTGACATATCCATGGATATGCCCAGAATTTACTAATTTTCTAAGGCAGTCTTTACTCAAAGCAAGCTAACAGATTACAATTAACAATCACATCCATACAATGGACACAATAAAAAAAAAAAAAAAACTAAGCGGGCGAGGATGTGGAGAACCTGAACTCTTGCATGTTGCTGGTGGGACTGTACAATGGTACAAAACTCTAGAAAACAGAATGGCAGTTCCTCAAAAATTAAGCATACAGTTACCATCTGATACAGAAATCCCATTCCTGGGTATATGCAGACGGGCCGTACCTTACTCAAATTGATACTGGTTCAAAAGCAAGACACATTCAGTAGGAGCTGTACTTAATACTGATCTCTTCCCAGGGTAGCCACATGCTATACAATACTCTGGTGATGCCCAACTGCAGGCTGATGTAACTGCTGTGAGCATTTAGCAGCTAGGCTAAGCTATGATGGTCGGCAGGTCACGGGTTACTAAATGCACTTTGGACTTGGGATGTTAAAACTTACAATCAGTTTGTCCAGGCATCACCCGTCATGAGTCAGAGAGAGTCTATTCTGAACAGATGTAAAAGCAGAAGTTGGCAGCAACCTGGCAGTGCGAGGGTAGGCAAACACAGCACATACACAACAAGATTATCCTTGAGTCCCACCAAAGGACATCAGACACATGCTGCACCCTGGATGGACCCTGAGCATTTCATGCTCAGTGAAATAAGGCTGTCAAAATGATTAAAAACAGTAGGCTCCCCTTGCATGCGTTACACAGAGCTACCAGATTCACAGAGACAGAAATAAGAGCAACGGGCACAGGGCCTGCAGGGGGGATCGGGGAACTAGTGTCCCCTAGGTTGGACCTTCAGACTGGGAAAATGAGGCAGCTCTGGAGGTGGTGGTAGCGATAGTTACCCAACAATGTGAGTGTGATTAACGCTACACAATAAACACTTCGAAGTGTCTAAAATGGTGAGGTGTACGTTACAAACGTTTTATATGATTATAAAAAGAACAGTTGGGTGTTGTTCCCAAAATCCAACACCAGAGAATTCCACAATCAAGAGCTCCTTGCTGCCATGTAAAATACTTACCTTCTGAGACCATTACAGAAAAGACATTTTTGTATCAAAATTCTCATGCATCTATAAACCTTTTGTCTTCACTGTCTTAAAAAATAAAATAGTAGCATTAACATCCAGGGAACACCCACTCTGCAGGCACTGAGGTGCTCACCACTCACCTCAACACAGCCCAAGCCCTCGCAAGGCTCTGTCCATGCCCCCTATCCACAGCTATCTCCAAAATAAACACCTCTCACCAGGTGAGATCAGTGGGATTTGCCAGGCAACTGCTTCTCAAACACTGGAGCAATACCAAAGCAGGGCTGTGCGGCTCACAACACAAAGCCCCCACCCAACTCCCTACTCACCCTCAGTTCTCCCCTTATAGCCTTGTTTCTGAAGATTCACCGTATCTCCTGTGCATCTCACAGAAGCACCTACACCCAAGCACAGTGTAAAAACAAATACACACACGCCTGACACAGGCCATGTGCCACAAGCCCCTGGAAGGCAAGAACTACTCAGTGGCACTCACGAGACCCAGCATTCTTCTCAGAGCTTCTCCTCAGTTCACACTGCTGCCCTGTGGCCTTAGCATAGCCAAGCAACACCTGTGTCAGGTGACAGATGGTACCATGTCCCATACACTGGGCCAGGCACATGAGTTACCGGCCTTATAGAAATTTCACAGCCACAGGCAGATGACAGGGCCCGAACCACAAGCCTCAGAGAGAACATCCAATTCATGACATAAGATCCCTGCTAGGCTGCCTGAAAACAAGGCAAAGAATGCTACAGTATGTATTCCCCTGCAAAAGAACACTGGCCTCCCAAATACCAGTCTTGAACGGGCAGTAAACCAGTCACTCACAGAAACACAAGCAAAGAGATGCATTTAAATATGATTACTGGTACCAAAAAATGGCAGGAATTACCCACCCAAAAAAGTGCCCACATTAATGAAACTTAAATACAGCCTACATACTACAGACTCCAAGCCCTGATGCTGGCCCTGGAAGAGGACAAAGTATATCTTAACATGAAAGTGCAACAATAAGAATCAAGGCCAGGTGTGGCAGTACACACCTGTGTTCCCAGTTACCCAGGAGGTTGTGGCAGGGGCACGCTTGAATCTAAGAGTTGAAGAACTGAGGACCACCCTAGGCAACATAGAAATCCTGGCAAGTCAGAGCAACTTGGCTCTGACTACCAGTTGAGAAAAAAAAAAAAAAAACAACAAAAAACTTTACAGGTTTGAGATGTTTCTCTGCCTATCTGCAAAATGTCAGAACAGAATGCAAAGCCAAGTTGTAAGAGAGAGCCCTATCCGGCACCCCAGTACAGGGAAGGGTATACCCAACCCACGCATTCCCTTCCCTCCTCCCTGGAGCAGAGGCATCAGGCAGAGACCCGTGCCCAGGCCCCACTCACCACTTGGCTTGATCTCACGCACGTAGTTGCTGGGGAACCAGCCGGTCCGGCCGTTGTGTGTGCCCTCCCACCAGCCTCCTTCCTCCACTCGCGTGACGTGGATGACGTCGCCCTTCGAGAAGGACAGCTCATCTTCGTTAGTCTGCTGGAAGTTAAACTTGGCTCTGACTACCAGTTGATTGTTGCTGTTATCCGTCATGTCCTAAGAAACAGGTGGGGAGGGGCAGGAGAAAGTCATATCACCTAGTCCACTTCATTTTACAGCACAAATCACACGTCACCATCGTGTAAAAGGAGCCCAGACACTGGGAGAAATGCCCAGAATGGCTTGGGTCAGTTCGCTCCAATTCCTGTCTGTCCCTGGGCACCTGCCCCCCTGGCAAGGCCTGCATGAGCCACACACCTGCTCACACACACTCAAATGGATCCCAGGGCACACACTTCTCTACCACATAAAAGGCACGGTCACTGTGCTCAATTCCCCAGCAGCATTCACCAGTAACAACCCAGGTATCACTATGCTGCCTAATTGTGCCATTATTTAATCAGTCCTCCACCTGTGGGTTTTGGGGTCATTTCTAGCATTTTTCTATAAGTTAAACAGTATTTTTCTTGTTTTGAAAACCAAGGCTGCATTAAAAATGCTTGCGCACCTGTCTCTGAACACAAGTAGAAATACACCTGGAGCTCACATTCTGATCAGAGGACACATACAACACATTGTAGATTTTAACACATATTTCTAAACTAACTTCCAAAACAGTCTACAAATTCACACTAAGAAAATGCCCACTGCAGAACTTAGAGGAGACCCATTTTGTCAAGCTTTTGCCAACTGGGTGTAGCCAAACACACTGATCCTCGCTATGCTGACTGGAGACCCAGTCATTCACATCCTAAGCTACACTGCTCCCAGAGCTGCACACTTCAGTGTGGAACAGGAAGAATCTGCAGGCTGCTGTCTCTTCCACTCTGACCCAGGCAGCCAGGGTGAGGCTGCCTGAGGTCACTGCCAGAGTGAAAGAGGCAGCCTAGCAGAGCCTCAGGGAGCCAAGCGGGGGCCAATGCACTACACCAGCTCACCAGCACCAGTGGAGGACAGGCAGGCTATGTGCCATCCCCTAGCACAGTGAGTAAGCCTGTCCCACCCAGTCGCAGCCACGAGGTGCCCGCACTCTGCCCTACACCAGCACAGAAGGCAGAGTCCTAGCCACTATCACCTGACTGCAGCAGGCAACCCCGTCTCCTGACCACCCTCCTCCCACAGGAGCAGATCCAGCTGGCTCTTCACAATACACCCACTCCACAAGTGGCCCTCAGCATCCATTCCAGCAGAAGCCAGCTGTAGGGAGCAGGTGAATCTGGAAATTGATCACACATGTGGGTGAGAGGCAAGCCTGGTGAAAGAACCACAAAGCGCTTCCCAGGCAAGTCACATGAACAAGCTGCTTCAGTCCAGAGCACACCAAGCCTGAAGACAATCCAAGCAATGGACTGCTAGGCAAAGAGGTGTCACATGACACCAACCTGCTCAATGTATAAATAAATGCTCTATGGTGATTGAGCAGTTCCTTTCCTCCCATCCGGAGAAAGGGCTCCACCTGACCTCAGCTTTCTGTCTCTCATCTTTATTTCTCCATCCTCTTACCTTCCTTCCCCCTTGGAACTTCAAGAGCAGAGCAGGCCACAGCAGCCAGCTACACTGCCAGACTATGGGTGCACAGCCAGAGGACAGAGGCCAGGGGACACAAGGCTCTGGCCAGCAAGGACAAAGGGCCAGAGAACCCAGCCACTCCAACACCCCTCTCCAAGGTGTCCAGGACACAATAGAAACATTCCTATCAGCAGGACAATCATAGCCGGAACAAAGAATTCCAACAGCCAAGCAATGCAACACCAAGACAGAAGGAAGCTGATGCAGGAGTCACCGCAAGCTTCAGGAGCCAGCAGTCTCCAAGAATCAATGACAAACTCCCCTGAAGTACAAAAAGAGGAGAAAACCTCAGCAGGAAGAACTGGAACTTATGAAACTACTCAAACTGACCAATGAGGGAAAACAAGCAGGGGAAAACTCCAAGCAGAGCCAGGGCCTCATGGGATGACAGGGCTCTCCCCTGGCACTGAGGCTGTGGGCAGTGAAGAAGCTGAAAATGTCCCAGATTTGGCAAACCTGCAAACTTACAGACCCTGGAGCCTGAAGGAACCCCCCGGAGGAGGGGGACACTTGGCCGAGACACATCCTGTCAAGTAACCAGACATCCGAAAACTAAAGGCAATGAAAACCTCAACATCAGAATAAACAAAACATCTGTGGATATACAGGAACCCGAAATATTTCAGTAATTGTGAAAAGCACATGCTTTCACAACAGGTAAAACCTAGGGAACACGGAAGGTGTGGAGAAGCAGCGTGGGGCTCTACAGGTCAGAGGGTGTCTCGGGGTGGAGGGGCAGCCCAGCTGCGCGTGGTGCAGCAAGCTTGAGCCTGACACACTGGGGCGTGGGACATAGGGTTTGGGGGCGCAGTAAGAAAAGACCTAACATGCTGGAGTGTGCAAAGAGACCAGGGCTCCCACCTGCAACAGGGACACAGGAACGAAGAAAAGGTCGGTTACACACCTCAGAAACGCTGTTGTTAGGAAAGGAAGCAGAGCCACTGGATAAGGCACGCGTCCACGAGGAACACCAGAGGGCCTGGTCCTAATCATGTCCCAAACCCAGACCTAGCTGAGACCAGGGCAGCACCTGGCTGCCAAGGAGAGCGCCAGGTGAAAAGGGATTGCCCCACTCCGCTGCAGGAGTCCCAGGGACAGCACTTGAAATGAGCCAAATGAAACAAGGCATTTTATTCAGACACATCCAGGCAAAAGCCTACAAAGCCAAGGCAGCAACTGGGAGTGGCTGACCAGCAAGCCTCAGAGCTAGGCCACCACGAGCACGCCCAGTGGAGGGCAAGGCAGACACAGAAGGTTCCAGCGAAGAGCGGCCACAACTGGCAGGATGCTCCCCAGGTACTGCCCCAGAAGCATGTTTAACCAGTAAAATTAAAATTAACTGTAAATTATAAATATCCACTTATTAATTCAAAACATTCCATTAAAAGATTAAACAAAACACTTAACATAGCCCTAGTATCTACTACTGAAATCTCTCAACACTCAGCGAAGGCTGCCGCTGATGGTTTCAGCTCAAATGCAGCACTCTCTGGCCCTCCAATGGTGAAGCAGGAGAAAGTGACACATGGAGAAGTGCCCAGTGCCCCTGCCCCTGGGAGACAGACACCCTCCAGACGCTACGTGGCACCCCGTTCTCCTCCTCCTGCAGCCCAAGCAGTCAGCAGGATCTGCACTGCACCATGCTTCCTGTAACGCATGTGGTGTGCACCGCCACCCAGTGGGAAGCCTATGCAGAGGGGAGCCCACAAGGCGCACACGCCAGGCACAACCCTGCCACCTGCCACGTACAGCCATGGCCAGCTCCACAGGGACAAGGGGACAGAGTTGAAGCGAAACAGGAAGCTACACAGGAGATGCACCACAAGCACTCCAGCCAGGAACGTGAGGCTGGGGAATCCAGTGCAGGAGCGACTTGTAAGTTCCGAGAGGAGCCCAAGCACCAGCACTGCAGAAGGACGGTGGGAAACCAAATGCAGGCACAGGCAAGCACTCTCCAGGTAAGCACAATCCAGATCTGTGCGGAAATCCCCAGTTTCCTCAGCAGTCGTATCACCAAAGACCACGTCGACTGCCTAAATGCGTCTGTTACAAAGCTACTCCACGGACACTGTGCGGGACGCATGCCAAGGGAGTAGGATGCAGGGGACAGGCCCCCAGGGTTCCAGGAAGAGCTCTGCTCCAAAATAAATACAAGCACTATTCCATCACTATGAGGGTCCTTTTCTTCGCTGTTTTTTTTTTTTGTTTTTTTTTTTGTTTTTTTTTCTTGGTACTGGGGATTGAATCTGGGCTCCTTACACTGAACTGCACCCCCAGCCCCTTTTTCTTTTTATTTTGAGACAGAATCTTGCTGTGTCATTAAGTTGCCCAGGCTGTGCTCAAACTTGTGATCCCCCTGCCTCAGCTGCCTACAGTGCCAGGATGACAAGCATGTCCCACGACACCTGTTTCCTTCCCTTTTTAAAGTAGCTCTCCTGAAACCATGGTTTGTCATCTGCTGGGTCCAACATGACATCCCAGGACTGTCTGTAGCACGGTAACAGAGCAAACACAAGGACAGGCACCCCTCATCTGTACCAAGAGAATGAAGAGGGACCCCCAAAGTTCCTGGGGCTGCACCTGCCATCTTCACCCGGTGCTGCCCACTCGGCAATGCTCAGCAAGCAGAAGCCCGTCTCACTGAGTGCACACACACGTGACGCACATCAACCACTGGCACCAACGCAAGGGGACCAGAGATGGCCCGTCCTATTCTGTCACCCGACGGGGCAATGGCGCACACACGCAGGCACAGAGGCCCTCCGCAGTTCAAGGGAGGCTGGTGAGAACACTCCTAGCATATCTGTGTGGCCACCAAGGTGTCAGGTATCGTGTCCCAGTGACAAGGAAAAGGACTTGGACAGACAGCAGCAGCCCAGGTCCACCACACTCTTAACCCCTCATCTTTCCCTTCTGAGTGAGAGGCCCTCAGAGCAGAGCTACATGGACAGCCCATCTGAGAGAGGCCAGAGGAAATCACCCAGGAGCATGGAGACACACTGGGAAGTACAGCTCCCACTGCGGGGCCAACCAGACTCCAAAGCTGCTCGAGTCTCCCAGACTGAGCAAAGCCCCTCAGCCGTGGCTGTGGAGCAGACACTCTCTGCAGTACAAAGCTCCAAGCGCAGTGCTCAGCGACTCCAAAGCTGACGCTGAAAGCCACGGAGACCGTATTAGCTTCGGCTCGGTCACAGCAGCTCAATCACAGAAGAAAGCAGAGAGCAACAGGGTCGTCTCCGTGCCCCCAGCACTCAGCTCTGGCACACACTTGGTCATTCTTGCCTCACTATGGACAGTGTCTAATCCAAGAAAACCTCCTGGTGGCGCTCCTGATAAACACACTCAGAAAAATCCCAGGGCAAAGACCCAGCCACCAACAGGTCCCAGGCCGGAAGCAGGCATAGCCCAGGAAGGGGAGGGCAGACACCTCCCAGCAGCCAATGGAAGGACACACACACCCACCTGCCAGAGAGGTTAGCCCACAGCAGGAGTATGGAGGACGGCGGGGTGGGCTCCTTCTTTCAAGTATCACCTACTACACTTCTAGCTAAGAAAAAGTTGGCCTCATCTAATTATGATTTCAGAAATGTCCACTACCAACCTTACACTTAACTTTATTTTACTTGAAATTATACACTTGCAATCCATTCCTCCTTTAGTAAGGGGAAAAAAACCCACGTAAGAACCGCTGTGGTAAAAGGGTAAGCAGGCTGGTCTCTCTCACCTTCCCTCACATACGTCATGAAGCTAATTTAGAACATGATTCAGGCGGTTTGAGTGTTTCTCCTCAGTCTACAATCACCACACTCACAATGGTCTTCTGCAAACTTCCACCAGCATCAAACCCTCCGAACAGCAACGCCAACCCCCAGGGCCCTGGAGGACTGCAGGAGGGAGCTGGGGTGGCACAGCAGAGCCACACGACCTACCAGCCAGCTGAGTTTGCCTAACTTTGAAACACAATTCTGTGTTACTTGTGATAACTGTATTCCCTCTGTGTCACTTCACTTTTAACACCGACTCTCTCCAAATGATGTTCAACTCTCACCATGCACGAACCGCAGCAGAGAGAACAGAAGATGGCCTGAGGTCTCTCAAAGAAGCAGGCTCTCCTCAGCCTAGCCGCAAGTAACCTTGTGTCTCCAAGGAGAACCACTTGGGAAGCCACACTCTTGCAGATGCTGACTGCCAAGCCTGGCCGGTGCCGAAGAGCGCACGGCTTGCCCAGGGCAGCAGCAGCTGGGGAGACCCCAGGCACCGGTGTCCAGTCCTGCATGAGACCTGTCCCTAAGCTTGTCTCCAGCCTCCCTGTTGAGCTGGGGCCTGCACTCTGAGCACTTCCAAGCAGGCTCTTGGTCCCTCCCCAGAACCACCACCCACCTGCTCCCTCCCTCCGGTGCTGAGCAGCAGCAAGGGGCTCCCCTCCGGGAACTGCCTGCATCTTAGGAAAGCGCTAAAGACACACCTGTCTGGAGAGAAAAGGCCATTTTTTCAGGCTTAAGCATCTCTTTCTCTGTACAGCTAAGTACTTCTACATATAGACTTCTTACTCTATTTCTATACATCTGTGCACTGCAGATAAGAAACTAGCATGCCGAGGCAGTATGTCATGGAGCATCACCTCTCTACATGAGCATTAATGTACCCCAAATAAGCAAGGGTTCTGACAGCACTCATTTCACATGAACCCAGAGGTTCTGGTTAGGAGCCAACATCAAGCAGCCTGCAGCAGAAAGGAGGCAAAGCCTCACACCTCACAGCTGCCTGATGCTGTGACCCAGACGTGCCTTCTCCCACACACCGAGGTACACTCTCCTGTCCCCAGACATACTTGAGTTTAAACAATGAAACCTCTCCAACTTACCAAACTCCGGTACTGGCTCTGGAACAACTGTGAAGTCCGGCTGTGTGAAGACTGGGACCCCAAGGAGTCAAAGGACTTGATGCGGTGCGAAGAGGGCCGCGCGCACACGGAGTCGCTCCCCAGGCCGATGTCTGCAGAGGTAGAGCACAGAGAGCCCTGAGACCTGATGCCACGCAGCGCACCACACACAGACTCTCCAGCTGGGCCAGCACAGGACACACCCTGGGTCCACAAAGCCGGCCACTGACGCAGGGACAAAGAGCAGATTCTGTCTGCTCCATGAACGCCCGGCATTCATTTCCCTATCACCTCTTCAGAAGCTATCTGGAGCCAACTACTTATCAGTTCTTCTCCAGTGTCATTTTCCAACAGTTTGTAAAACGTTTTGTGACTGTTTTTAATAGTTCCCTTCACCTGGAAAAACAGGCTTCTCCTTCAGTTACCTAGCAGAAAACAGCAGAGCTCATTCTCCCGTGCACCACATGCACCTGCTTCTCCAAGACCACGCATGTGCACCACGCCAAGAACCAAGGCTCGGCGCCCTGGAGTCCACGAGTGCCTTCCAAGCACAGAAGCCACCCCTCTCGGCCCACATCAGGCAGGCACTGGTCACCGGGAGCCAGCAGAGAAGGCTCAGTTCCATGCATGGACTCCCGCCAACCACCAGCAAGGGCCAGCGGCCCACTGCTTACTCATGATTCGGCTCAGAGAAGGAAAGGTGAGGCCAGGAAACATTCCCTAAGGAAACCAGGGCTGGAGAGCTGCTCCTGAGTCCTCCAGCTGCATGGAAGCTTTCACAAGGCTGACAGTTCTCAGTCCCCAGCCCCTTTTGCCACATCTGTTTTCACTGTCCTATGTGGTGTCTATAAAACTCGGAATTAGCTGTTGACTCCTGCAAGTCTGAAGACATCACAGGAAAACACAGAGTCACAGCCACTCTTGGCATACTCAGCACGGCAACACAGGGTCCTCATTCCTGCAGGGCAGCCTGGAAGGGCAGGGCAGGGCAGGGCAGGGCAGGGCAGGGCAGGGCAGGGCAGGCAGCAGAGGAGCACAGGTGCCCCATCCATCTCGTCCCACCTACACATTGATGCCGGGGGACCAGGACACTGTTGGGAACTACCTGACTATCCCGGCTATCACAGCTGAAGTGACAGCTTCCGCAGTCCTGCACAGGGCCAGCAGTAAGTGCCACAGGAAAGTATCCACTGGAGAAGAGATGCCAAAGGTTGCCCCAGAGCAAGACCCACCACAGGGCATTTCCTGCAGCCCCCCACGGGCAGCCCGGCCTAGCTTACACTGCTGGCCCGCCAGGCCCTGGCTTCCAGTCCAGCCGCAGCACCTTGACCCTGACTCTCCAGCACCCACCTCACCGCCTTGAGTGCACACATGGATTTCTGTAAGGGACAGAGCAGAGGGAGAGGCTGTTCCCAAGAAGGCAGCAGCTGCAACCACGCTACTTTTGAGGCAACCACATAACACTGCTATCTAAGGGAAGAGTTCACTTCCAAGCAATAACTTCTGAAAAACTATAGCAAGGAGCCAGTACATACAGAAGCTTTCTGAGAGGGATCACTAATATTATTTAAAGCCCAAAAGTAGCAAGCTTATCCCTTAACTTCCACATATGACTTCCTACACGTTTTACACCCAGGGTACACCCAATGACACCAAGAACACACAAAGCTTTTCTCATGATGTAGCCCAGGCTGGCCTGGAACTCATGCCACCAAGCCTGGGGCATGTGGTAGGAGCGGCAAATGCCCAAGAGCTGTGGATCTCGTTTCTTTACATCTCATCACTCACCTGAAAACCACAGGGCCTCCACCTGGACCACGGATGGGCACAGGTAAGTGCACGCTGGGCCCCAGCACCCCAGGTCTGAGCGCTCAGCCTCTGCTGCCGTTCACCAGTGCTCCCTCCACACCACGTGCAGGCAGAGCACCCGTGTGTAGTGCTCGCAACAGGGCACGGGTGGAGGTAAGGGTGACGCCCCATGCTACTCATGTGGGCTGCTCCTGTCCCTGTCCCCCAGAGACTCACACCGCTGAGAAGGAAAAGATGAGTCGGCCCCTAACAAGCAGACTCGCTGTGCAGGCTGGCAAGTGTTCCAGTGCAGCCCGGGTGGTGGCCTGGGATGGGGGACTGTGCACACGTGCATCAGTGCCCCTCACACAAGGAAGACAAAGCACATCTCGGGCAACAGACCTGACGAGAGCTGGGGCAGGAGCCTGGCTCTCCCCAGGGCTCAGCTGCCAGTGACACGAGTGACACAGGCCAGTCCGTGTGGGGAGCCAGTCTCTCTGCCACAGGGGAGGACTCAGACACCAGGGGCTGTGGCCCATGTCCTCATGGCCCCAGAGCACAGCACCAAGAGCAACCGAGCAGGCAGCTCAGGTCATCTCCACAGCTCAGCAATGATCACTTTGCCCTGATTCAGCCCCCATGCACACCCCAAATTTAATAAAAAGTCTTACCTGCTGTCACCTTATTTAGGGTCACTAAGGAGCTGAGGACCTTGTTAAAGTTCTGCCCCTGGTACAAATCATTTGCCTCAAACGTCTGAAAGGAAAAATCAAACAAGCAAAATTAGTGCCGAGTCTCCACTAGGTACAGGACAGACAGGGCCCCCGGTGACATGAGATATAGGTGTGTGGTCCCTGGCAGGCAGCCAAGAGCAAAGGCAAGGCCTCCAGAAGGGGCAGTGGGAGGGGCGTGCAGCGGGGGCTCCCTCAAGCAGGCTTGCCCCAGCTTAAACAGGAAGCTTGCTGCCTCCTCCTTGCCGGGCCAGGCCCAGCCAGGGTTTCCTGGTCAGGTGCCACAGACACTCCTTCCTGGCACTGACAAGGAGATGAATGCAGCCCACTCCAAAGCACAGGAAAACACAGGGCTATGCGTGGATGGAGAGGACCCAGAGGAGGGCCAGGATGGGAGCCACACCAGCAGCCCCGCCCACTCACACTGTCCAGAGACCAAGCGGTTGGGGTGGGCAGGCGGTCAGGTAGGCAGGCTGGAGGACTACACACCACCCACCTAGAGCTGGGAAGCAGCACAGGAGCTCACCCAGATGCAGGCAGCTCTCTGTGTGTGCGCGCACACACATGCGTGTACTCACACACGTGTGTGTACTCACAGGGTGTGATGAAACATGCACAGCTCTTTCCAAATACTGGCGAAAGACTACATGCCACTTGTAATCACCTAATAAACTCACACAAAAGTAATTTAACCATCCACTACTCCATTCTAGAAAAAATGAAGTCAGTCTCAGAGGTTAAAAAAAAAAAAAACTATTAATAGACACCAAATTCATAGCATGCTTCATGCTTTCTCTCAGTACTGCAGAATGGGTCATGGGAGGGGAGGGGATGTGTGGGTGCAGCCCCTGCCCTGCACCCACCACCCCACCACCACCACCACCCCAGGTCTCCCAGCAGAGCCTGCCAGGAACTCTCCCACTTCCTGCCTCCCCGCCCACCTCCTTCCTTCCCGGCTTACTCATCTTACTTCCTGAAGCAGACCAGCCTGGACATGTAACCGAGCCCCCAACTGGGTCCCCAAAATATGTGTCACCAAGGTAAGTCCATGGTGGACGTCTACATGCCACCCTGGAGTGCAGCGACAGACTATGTCTCTGCCAACACTCAACAAATACGAGCCAGGTGTGTGCTGGGGGGCGGGGGATCCCAACCACCACCACCACCCCCGCCACCCACTGCAGCACTCAACATCACTGTGAGTTTAATGCCAAGAGACGCTAAGTAGTCAGGTGTGACAGGGCACTCAAGTAATCCCAGCACTCTGAGAGGCTGAGGGAGGAGGATTTCAAGTCAGGCCTAGCATGGGCAACTTTTACTTAATGAGGTCTGCCTCTAGATAGATGAGACAGATGACAGATGAGAGATGACAGATGATAGATAGACAGACAGACGAGACAGACAGACATAGATGGATAAACAGGTAGGCTAGGTAGGTAGGTAGACAGGTGAAGGCCCTGTGTTCACTCTCTTTGTTACCAAAAAAACAAAAACTTTAAAAATACCTCCAATTAAAAAATAATAAAAATAATAAAAATAAAAATAAAAATACCTCCAATTAATGATCTTCTGCCTACAATTTCTGAAATAATGAGATAAAAACCAGTTCTGAGGTATTTGCTCACACCTGAATAAAGAAAAGATGACTAAGACCTGGAAAGTGACCTCAACACAGAGGCCCAACGGTGCTGAAAGCACAGCTCAGTCACTGTTTGAAGTTCACACAAAAGGATCCACGCGTACACACTCAGGTCTCTCTCTCCCTCTCTCTCTCCTCTCTCTCCCTCTCTCTCTGTCTCTCACTCTCTCTTTTCTCCCCACTCCCAAAGAGGGTCCCAGGAGCCAGAAGCCCAGAAAGCACTCATCGGAACAGAGGCTTCAGAACCACCTCAGGACTGGGAGTCAGATGTGTGACTTAGGAGGAAACCTAGCTCAAATGGGAGCCCCAACTAGGCTGACCAACCACGCTCACTTTTATGTGGTAAATATGGGCTATGCTGCAGCTTTTTAAAAGACTGGGCTGGTGGCAAACACCTGTAACCCCAGCACTTGGGAGGCTGAGGCAGGAGAATCCAAGTCAGAGCCAGCCTGGGCAACTCAGAAACTTAGGGAGACCCTGTCACTAAACAAAAGCATTAAAACAGGTTCAGGGTAGAGCTCTGCGTAAAGCCCTGGGTTCACTACCCAGTATGTGGGGAAACAGTATCAACATTAACAGGCTCAGCTTCCTTACACGCAAACTCTCAAGTCCCCAAAGCGTGAAATGCTCAGGCAGGCAACCTGATGTCCCTGAGTGCTACGGTCTAATTCTACAGCCTGGAAGAGTCTAATACACATAAACACATAAATGGCCACTGACCTTCATGGCGGCGAGGCGGCGAGGCACAGACCCAGAACACAGGATGTGCAAATGGGGAGGCTTCCTGTTATTCCAGGGCTAGGCAGCTCTCCGCCTCGGAGACCAGGAAGCACCTGACCGGCTGCGCCCGCCCACCCCCCCCATGGGCCTTGGTGTGACATCACACGCCATGGCCCACAGGGAAAAACTAGGCAGAGGAGATGACACGAACTGTCACAGAGGCCCAGGCCACTTCCCAAAGGCATTATCTGGACTGTTCCAGGAATGGAAAAGTGTTCAACAAAAACCAGCAACAGAAGCCTTTGTAGGGTACAAGAGCTCATGAGGGAGGAGGCAGAAAGCCTCTACCAGGAAACACACAGATGCACCCGTGTGTGCAGCCGTTACGAGGGCCTTCTGCCCACACTGCGGAGGGCTCCCAGATGAGGAAGCAGCAGGAGAGGGAGAAGGGCCCCCTCCCCTGTCCCCAGCCTTTCTGCGGTGGCATCAGGAGCTGCAGTGCAGGTTCCTGGGGATGCTAGGACAGCATAACACTCAAGCCACCTCCCACCACAGCAAGGTCTCCAAGGCGGACCCGGAATGGAGACCGTGCCCCTCTCTCACATGGCCAGGTGTACACGCTCCTCACGCCAGGAACTGGGCAGCCACGGGCACAGAGAAGGACACAATCAACAGCAGAGCCCACCCCAGTGGAAACTCACCCATACTTTGCATGGAGTGAGTTAAATGTGCCACAGAATAATCTGCTATTTCCAAAATACAAGCATTTACCAGTCTTTCCACCAAGAAGTGCATGATGCTGAACTCACTGCTTATGGCTTGTTTTTCATAGTTTTCTTCCAATACTTTACTTTCAGTGGTGCAGAAGGAAATACAACAAACACCAAAGCACAGAGAAACCACGGAGGAAGAGAACCTGTCTTCAGGAGGACACAGAAGCTCTTTCTCAAAGGCCTGGCGTCTCTGAGCAGCCAGGACAAGCAGGCAAAACGGGCACGTGAGAGCAGGGATGAGAGGCACTGCCCCAGGAGCTCCGCTGCTCAGCCTCACGATGGGGACATGGGTCAGGATGAGCCCAGTGTACATGCACCCAGTGCCCACCAAGGCCTCGTATCCCCCACAGGCTGCTCTTTGGCCTGGCCCCAGGGCCCAGGGACCCCTCCCAGCTAACACAGGCCCAGACAGTGTGCCTCCCGTGGGGTAGGCACAGCTTCGCAAGGGGCATCACTTCACAAGGCCACTTTCAATGTCATCTTCAGACCACTGACAGAGACACAGCTCATCTCCAAGAACAACAGGAGGAACAAGACACTAAGTGAAGCCCTTAGATCATCTAGGAACAGACTAGTTTAGCACAGGAAGGTGCTGCAGCAGGAAATGCACCACCACCACTACCCCCACAGCCAGTACACTTCAGTTTCTTAGTTGCCCAGATAACAGTTCCTGTTTCAGTTCCAGTTGCTCCTGTCTCTTAGAAACAGCTGGTCACTATGATGCACACTGTATAAACCAATCCCCAGCTGACAAGCTGTTCTGCCTCTGTACTCCTGCTTGCTTATCTCATGTAAGTCCTAGACGACCAGAGATTGGGGCCTGATATTCTGGGAGTGATCCAATCAGTGCCAGTGAACGTGAACAAATCTGCCTGAAATCCTAGTGTCATTTCAGTGTTTCTGCTTGCTTACTGCAGTGCAAGTTAGTATGACTTCAAAATAAAACTATTCCAATGAACACTGTCACTCCCTGACGAGCGAGCTTTCCCTCCCACCCCAGATCCGAAATGCAACCTCCAGGGGCTATGCTCCAGGAATCTCCAGGAGGAAACACAACCATCCATGAGCTGGTCAGGGCAACATGCTGTCCACCAGCAGCTGGGAACCCTGGACAGGGAGGATGGAGGGCTAGCAGAGCAGGAAGCGCATCTCCCCCAAGGCCTCTGGGCACCGGGGTAGGTCATCTGGTCCACAAACAGCTCACTTTAACTAAGCCTGGGGGACTCAAGCAACCACATCTGCTGCCCACAGTTCTGTTGGCATCGTAGGCCACTGAAGACATGCGACTCAGCAGGGCTGAGGGAGGGCCGAGTGTCAGCAGTACCAGCATTAGACAAAGGCGTGCAAATGAGTCACACAGCTCCTTCTCAGGCATTCACACCCTCCCGCCAACTGCTGGCGACTCCAGCAGCCCAGCCCCCCTCACCACGCTGCTGCACCCACCTCGCAGCCCAGACCACAGTGCAGGCAGCGAGGCTCACACTTCAGCATACCCACACAGCACAGCCCACGCCAGGAAGGGCCAGAGAGGGCACATGGGGGACGCAGAGCCCAGGAGCCTCTGTCCTCTTCCCTGTGCCCCTCCTCCCTTCCAGAGCAGGGGACAGGGGCCAAGACTGTCCCAATTCACACTCCGAGGGCCGCCATCCACTCAGCTCCCCAGGGGGTTTATGGCAAAGCTATTTTGTTTTTGTTTTTTTTTTTTTGTTTTTTTTTTGGATTTTTCTCCGGTACCGGGAACCGAACTCACGGCCTTGCACTTGCCAGGCAGGTGCTTTTGCCGCTGAGCTAAGTCCCCAGCCCCGGCAAAGCTATTTTGGACACAACAAATTGTTATTTTGGCAGAGTTCTGGAGTGTGGCTCAGAAAGCTTAAAAATATAATTTTGTCCTAT